TGGGCTGCGGTGTCAGCCTTCTGTCATTTGACCTGGTCCTGCAAGCCATTTCTCTGATGAGTAATTCTGAGTAAGATGCTCTAGGACCGCACAATTTGACTTCTTTTTCAAGACCAGGAGTGCAAAGAAATGCTGCTTCTAGACGTGGATACGTATCCACGAGAAAGACCTCCAACACATTTCTCACTTCCGACAATTCTGAAAACCTGAATTTGTCTTGCATTCTCACAAATTTTGTCTGAAATTATTCCTTTCTTTTCCTTCTCATATAATGCTGCCCTTTCAACACGTTTAGTCTCTTAATGCAGGAGACAGTTCTTTATCTTTCAAAAAATCTGGATTGTCTAGTGCAACTAGTCGGGTCAATCAGAGCACAACGTGCAGGACTATCTCCGAACAAAAAATAGTGTTATTAAGAACAATCAAACTTTAATGTCTCTAATTAGACACAGAGAAAAAAAATTGTCCTGGTTTTACTTTAATCGGTGATGATTTTGCCATTGACTTTAGTGGAGATAGTATTTCACCAGGAGTATTTAATTAATTTATTTTTCTAGTTTAAATCAGGTGAAAAAAGCAGCACACGGACAATGATTTAGACTAGAAATATGCCTGTAAGTATTAAATCGGGGAAGAAGGAATCCAACTTATTAAAGAATGCAGTGATTTACAAAAGAAAAATTACAGAACTTTTTTTTTTTTCTTGGCCCTAAACACTTCCAAGTTCTTTACTGATTTGAATAACTAAGGTTTGTAATATTTTCCTATGGACAACAGGGGGAAACAATATTATGGCTGTGACACGAATAATTGCTTTTCTACATTTACTTACTTTCTGCAGTAATAAATACACATAAGGCTCAGTTTAAGAATTTCACAATATACTTAAATTTCTGATCAAGCTGATTTGAATTAAGTCTACCATGCTAACCTTTTTCAATAGAACTTTACAACATCCTATAAAACTGTTGTTTAAACAATGCTTCCCATAATTGCCACCAATAAATGATACCTTTTTATTGCCATTAGAACACTCTTGGTTACCGGTTTCCAGAGATCGCTGCAGTAATCTGTACGTAACTTTGTGTTATGTTGTTAATAATTGTATGATTTTCTTTTTAGAAATCAGAAACTGTAAAAGTTTAAGAAAACATGCAAATGCTGAGGATACACGTAAGTGAAATATTTAATGTCCATCATTCATAAAAGTTACATTGATTACATAGGGTTCATTAGTATATAATAAAAATGTCATCTTAATGAAAGATTTTCTGGCAAGTCTTTTATATGTTAATTTGTTTAACATATGCTTTGGCTATACAGCTAAATAGGAATATATTTAAAAAAAATCTTTCTTCAAATAGTTGCTTAACAGTTACAAAACCTCATTACTAAGAATTGGTTATTGTTACACTTGCTTGTTGGCTTGTAAAAATCATCTGTGATTTGGACTGGGAATCTTAGGACCAACTTTTTGTAACATACTTGCTCATTGCATAGTGACCATGTAAACAGCTCAGGGATCCACAAATTATATCCTTGTACTCTAAAAGTCATTGAGGATTTTACATACTGTACTGCTTATGCTTTCTTATATTGATGAAGAATTTGGGGATTGTTTTATTGTTGATGCTGATGGGATTTTTTTTTAAACATGTCAGTTTTATACAAGAAGTTAAAAATTAAAAAGTTAACACCAAAGGAAATAATTTTACACTGTGCAACTGTATTGCTACCTCATTCTTTGTGATTTTAGATATATATAACATATTGGAACTGCACTGTACTGCTTCTTTTCAAAAGAAAAGTTTAAATTAGTTGGAACAATTAGCTATGTGTTTACATAAAGTTAACTATGTTTGCATCAAATAAAATGTTTATTAATGAAAGCTATTATACAAGAAACATCAAAGAGAAATTCATCATACAGAAATGTACACTATATGTGACAGATGGAAAAGTGCATGCAGATTTGTCTCATTTTAAAAAAAAAGAATTCAGAAACAATAGTACTAAAGTTACTGGGTTTTGATTCCTATGATCTCAAATGAGTGAAAAGTTCTCTTTGAATTTACAAAAATCCATTTAACAGATATGACTAGTACACATTAGCAAGCAAGTGAAATGAATGCACTCAGATTTTATTTTACAAGTACTTGTGCTTGACAAATGTGATTTTTTTTTAAAGAAAAGTTTTCTTCGAATATGGGCTGGGTAGATTGCTGCCAGGTTGCTCTGGTTTAATACATAGTTTCTCTAAATTTGTTTTTAATACCATACAATTTGTTGAAGCCTTCAGTTCTGTTAATTAGACACCATAAAATAACATATGTTTTCTTAACATTCAGGAAATGACATCAAGTCTTTTATTTTTATTTTTTGGCTCAATAGATTTTTAAATGTATGATTATCATAACCTAATATTGTCTTTGTCTTCACTGCAGTGGATTTCCGATCAAACTTTTCCCCTTCTTTTAATACTTTAGGGAATTTTCAAACGTCGGGATGTTTGGCTGTAATGCCCCATGATTTGTTCTCCCTGAAAGAAATCATAGTGACAATTTATTAAACTACAGAGCAACCTGGCTTTTCGGGGTCTGCAATTCTATTTTGTGTTCAATACACCTAGCATTAAATCTTGATTCATTTCATCATATTATTTAGGTTATATTTGTCATGCAATTACTTTAGCTGCTAGTTTTCTGGCTTTTTTAGAAGTCTAAGACGGGGTTTCAGTATCAAATCAGTGGGGCATTACTTTGCATGTTCAAAAAAGGGGGTTAAAAGGCTAAAATCTAAATTGCACCAGCAGTAGCATATACATTGAATATGAAGAAATTGAAAACCTAAGAAGGAATCATATTTTAAAATATTTAAAAGGCCGTGTTTCCGTGTTCAATACCAATTGTTCACAGGTATCATAAAAGCAAAGAGACGCGCTGATACATGTAGACTTTAAATTAAAAAAAAAAAAGAAAAAAGAAAAAAAAACTGATGGGAAATAAAACTCCTTAGATTCAAAATGGTTTATTCACACAAATTTAATAGGATATATCACAATTGTTTGGTCCATAAATATTTAGGGGAAATAGTTTCTATACAATGCATTTATCAATAAACAAAGAAACATGGACAATTTTGCTAGACCACTTACTGTACTATAAACACGAAGCTCAATATATAAGATTATTGGTTTTATCAACTATATCTGAAAGAGTGCACAACTGCTTTCTATGACATGTTTGTCCCCTCTAACAGGATACACCATAAAAAGAGTTTCAGAAATAAGAGGTAAAACAGTACAAAACTAGTGAGGTGTCAAAAGGGCTTAAAACAGTTAATTTAACAAACAACACATATATCCTGATTTTTCACAAACTTACTCCCAAGGTATATCATAAGGCACATAGTAGAACTGAGTTTTAATTAGTCTACTTAATAAAGTAGATCTCTAGTACCATATATTGTTCTGTCAAAGAACAAAATTTATAAGTATCAATATTTTTACCTGTAAAAGTGTATTAATAAAGATCTCAGCCTTACCAAGGTCGTTTGGTCTGGTTAGTGGTAAATGCCCATAAGGTAATAGAAATAGGAAAAGTCAAGATTTAATATCCGTAGAAGATGATAACCATACTTGCTAAATATATAATGGCAAACACACCTTTCTTCTATTACAGTGTTAACATCTCTTCCGTCATCTTTTTTTAAAAATAAGCTACTTTTCTGTGCTAATTTTCTAAAAACCCTGAGCAAAAATTACAATAATGCACTTTAATGTGGGCAGTGAACTGTCAATATGTAACCACACATTTATACAGCCAAAAAGGACACCTTTAAAATATATTAAATAGCCACTTTGACCACCAAAAAAGAGATTTGATGGTATCTAAAAAGTGGGGTATATGTGCAAAGTTATTCTTAACAATCCACTAAAAGCAAGACATAGATCTTGACTGGATTTTGTTCGGTTTTGCTTCTGAGACTCTCCGCAATCTAATTGGTGTTCAACTACAATAAAAGGATACAAATGAACATTCACCACTGCCCAGACCATTCAGACTTTTAGCTTAAATAAAATTAAAAAAAGAAAGATCACTATTGTAAACTAAGAAATGTATTCAGATCAGCATCCACAAGGCTTCTGAGTTTATCTGCTTTAATCTGCTTTTATTCACTGCCAATTCCCATTTTTGTTAGAATTTTTGCTAACATTTTTTTCTTTTATACAAAGTTTAAAAAGTTAAAGTACATGTTAGAGATATTAATGAACTAAAGATTTTAAGTTCATGTGTTAAACAAAATGTCTGATACAATCTCAGGAAACATCTAAAGTAAATTCAAAATAGTAATGAATACATGTTACTGAAATATTTTCCTTAAACATCTTAATAAATTATATTTTGCTTATTTCCATTTTCCCTGAAAAAGTATGATTTATCAAAAACTCATTTAAACAGTACACACACATACGTCATCTTGGAAATTATTTTTGTTCTCACTAAAGTAGCTGGGCAACCTCCTGCTTGCTTTAATGGTACGGCATCAAGGCGGTGTAGCAAACCGCACCACTTTTTTTTTAATTCCAAATCAGAACTGCTTGACAGACAAAAATTAAAAACCCTCCCTATGAGATATATCAGATCAGTAGGACTCCTCACTCAAGTTGTTATTCTGCTGGTTTTACCTTAATAATATCCCTATAGGAGTGAGCTCATTCTGGAGGGTGTTTTCCAGATCTTGCCTCCTTCATGTGTAGCACACAAATTTGGAGAGCAACAGCCTGATCCTGCCATCCTCATCCACATGCACGCTCATCACCGCCTCTCTCTCTCCAAGCCCTCCATCCAGGCACAACTTTCAGTGGAGGCCAAGGATGTCCCAGCTGGGTGAAGAACTGGCAGAAGAGCATTTAGCTATCCCAGTGAGACTCCCCAGTGCTCAGGGAGGGTCACGCTAGTGACTAATGCATTAGAAAAAAGCACTGGCATTTACAGTCTGACTATTTCAAAGATTAGTTTAATTCATTTTGTATTTATTTTTCAACATTTAAAAAATAAATCATACAAAACTTTTAGATGCATTATAAAAATAAAAAGAAATTTGGGGTTCTTAAATGCTGTAAGTGAGCACACAATCCTGAAGCAGCATTCTTTCGGCTATAATTAAACTTTTTTATCTGGTTATCAAGGAGGGAAAATAATCTTCTTTTTTTATTTTGTGGTAGTAATCATTTTTTTCAAGGTTATGGAAATAAGTAACATACAATTTTAAGAGGCACTTATTAGAATTATTCATAACTTTCTCTTCAGTTATTCGATGAATTTAAAAAATTTGAGTACAATTTACCATCAGTAAATGTTCATTTATTATAGCAACATATTACTTCAAACTCATTTGCCAAGTGGCTGCAGATGCTACACATCAAGCTGTTTATTTTCCCAAATATTTTGTGGGTTTGTATTTTTTTAAAAAAAAGAGGCTTGAAAATAATAAAAATAATAATTATAATAATAATAATAAAGAAGAAGAGTAAGAATTAAAAAAAAAAAAAAACTGAAATGTTAGAAAAGGTTCGTTAAGGTAGTTTGTGAGGGGCTCCCGGATTCGTGGCTGTCCAAGTTAGAGGTCACTGATGTCACTACAGTGATAGTGGGATTGGTCAGGTCTGTTAAAGTGGTCGCAGTGCCGGGTGGAGTGAGTGCGCCGCTGTCTGCTGAGGGCGGTGCCGGAAGTGAGGTGCCATCAGCTTTATCGACACCCCCATTCTCCTGCCGCAAAAGGTTCCTTCTGAATTTGGCTCTTGCGTTTTGAAACCAAACCTGCAAACCAATCCCAATTGATTTCTTTACCGATGCTTGTTTTGTTTTGCTTATTTTTGTCTTTGTTTTTGCTAAGTCATTTTTTGAATGTTTGTTTTTGAGTGGCAAATCGCCTAAATCACTCTACCGCTTCACTTGCTACTGGTAGTACTGACCCTTTCACAGGCGGGACCCCTGAGCACAAAGCCCAGCGCTACAGGCGCTCACTGGAACATTGCAGCCCAGCGTGCAGATCTTGTAGAGCAGCCTTAAGAAAAATCTTCTCGCTCACTCACCCAAGGAAAGCAACTTTCTTGATGGCCATCTGCTGTATTCTTGGGTGGGTAGGTTTGGGGTCGAGACATGATAAAGATTGAGGCGAAGGGTGAATGAGCAGATTTTTGCCAAGGCTGAAAGTTTGTCCTGACTATTCTAAAAGACTGAAGAGGAAGGAGGGGTAGTTACACCATCCCTATCATACGGATTGTTGATATGGGTCACCCAGTCTTTCTGTTCTGTAAGGGTCACTGGAAATGTTTTAGGTGACATGTAACACAGACAAGGAATTGCCACTAATAGATTCTCCTTCTACCTCGATCGCTGCCCTTCTTTGGCACTCTGCATATAATACACACCTTGCTTTAACTTCACTGAGCTAGCACACACCGTATAAGGATTTTTTTTTAAGGAATTTGCTGGGCTGTCCTTCACCGGGAAGTGACTTTTTACTATGTAGGCCCTTAATGGTATCAGTTGTCTAACAGACATTGAGAAAGAGAGACAGCTGGTCCTGGAGGATCATATTGTTCAAAGCTTACTTCCTACATGTTGGAGGATCTGCTCACTGAGGGGCTACAGTAAGTACTTCAGGGGAGCCCAAAGGCTTCACCCAGTGTGTATAAAATGAGTAGATTTGCTACCTCTACCCTAAATAAGGTCACCACAGAGAGACTACAGATCCCAGGTTATCTACTGGGTTGGTAGACTCTGGAGACAGTTTCCTCATGTTGAGGATGCAACTAATTACAAATCACATTTTAGTATTTGGCTGCCTTGGGGTGGTAGGGCATACATTTGGCGCTCCTGCCATGTAACACCATACCTCTCTGCACACCCGCTAGGGACACACCTAGCAAAAGCATTTCTGCATATATCGCTATGGTTGCACATAAGGGAAATGCTATTGACTGTCAGGGGTAGGGGAAACTTCTGTCAAGCCCGTGGTGTGGCCTCTTACCTGCAGAACTCTCTTGGTCAGGCCTGTTTTCTGGGCAAGCTGCTTGAGGTCCTTGGCATCTGGGTTGTGGTTGATAGCAAAGTAGGACTTCATGGTACGAAGCTGGTGGTGTTTGAAGGAGGTGCGCATGCGCTTTGTCTTCTGGGATGGGGGATAAGGCTGCTGGTCTCTGTCCAAGTGATCTGCCTCATTCTCATTACAACCTGTTCAATAAACAAAATGAAACAAGGAGTTAGGGGTCATGGATCATGCAGGATAAATGAATCAAGGCAAAAATCTTCAGTCATATACTGTTTGGAAGGAAGGAAACAAGCAAGAAAGGAAGGAAGGGCTAAGATGGTGCAAGGATAAGTACAAATGTGGTAATTCGATGAGACAAAAAAGATCCAGAAGATGACCTTTTCCTATTCTTAAAACACACTATATCCCCCAGGCCTGTACCTACTAAGGGCAGACTTAGAAAGTTCTCTCTCCTTTGGCATTTATTTTCAAACAAGTCTTTTCCCTGTGGTGATGGTTTTGCTTTGGGCGTTCAAAGAGTCATTTGAAATCTCATTCAGATTTTGAAATCTCACTCATTGAAACACTCTTAGCTTGAGAGAAGTATAAAGGTCAAACCAGCGTTTTGAATGTTCCTGAGCTTTTCCCCCAAATCACAAGCACCTATAAAAAAAGATATACAGCAGGAAAGTTTGTTATGACAGTTCATCGAGAAAGCATAAAATCTGGAGGTTTTTGCTGATAAAATAAATGCTTTTGGACTCTGCCTGGGAGTTTATATGAACTGCTTGAAGGCCTTCATCTGTAAAAGGTGTCTAGAAAGCAGTTGCATCAAGGCTTGATTCAGTCACTCATTCTCAACCCCAATCAGCAGTAACTCTTAGTTGGTACGATTTAGGACGTTTCTATAAGCAACCAACTAGTGGCTCAAAATTTGAAGACTTTCCCTGATTCATAATTTTCAAAGTATGTATGAATGATGGATTTGTTTCAGATTACACTTTTATGGGTGTGAATTGTACACAAGAGTTGCAGCTGTTTGGGGACTGTGGCATCATTGCTTCATATTGGTGAAAGGAATGACAGTATTGGCAAAAAAAAAACCCAACAGACATCTGTCTATATTTTACTTTTCAGCTTAAAAAAAAGGGTTACCAATTTATAGGATCTCATTTTATAAAGCTAACTCAGTCACACAGGAGAAAATTAATGATGTCATCATAGCAGGGAATATTAATTAAAGAACAGCTAATTAAAGATGTCTCAGAATGTCTGTAAACTAGACCAAGTTTCATTAGTTGCTCATTTGAATTTTTGAACTGCTTTCCAATAGTTATTGGATTAGTTACTAGGCCTAGTTGTTCCCTATTTCATAAAAAAAAAAAAAGAGAGAGAAAGCACACAATACAGAGAGAGACTGATATTGACAGTGCTAAAAACAGAGGCAAAGCAACTTGAAACCAGGAGAAAATAAAAAGCTTCTTGAAGGTGTTTTCTCTTTTGAATTATAAGACAAGTCAACATGAACAGATGCTGGTAAGACAACACTTTGACAGAAAATCAGGTGAATATTTAATTATAGCTAGATTTGTTTCTAGTCTTGGTAAGAAGTATATCTGCACATTCAAACAGAGTAAGTTGACACTTCTGAAAATACCAGGAGTTGAAAGTTGCCTTAAAAACAATTTCAGACCAGATTTGGATTGTATTTACTACTTGTTTTCACAAGCAATCACACTGCCTTCAGTCAAACTACGTGGGCCGTAATTTATGAGCTGACATAAATCAGAGTACCAGAATTCAGTCCTCAGGTTTTACTTCAGACAGTTGCAAGCTGTTTGTTTGTGTTGTTTTCCTTGGGTCACTCAGGTTTGCAGCAGCAATGTGAACTTCCTCAGGTTCCTCTGTCCTGCTTACTGCCCTTGTTTCAGTGATCTACTTTTTTTGTCTGGAATCTACTTTATTTGGCTTTTATTTTCAAGAGAAAATGGGAAGAGGGCCTCAAGCATCCTCAGATGATCCCAGTTTATTCAATGGTTAGCTCACTCTCTATTTTACGTGGGTGACACTGCGTTATGTGGTTTGGCCACATCATGGAGCAGAGTTTTACACTATCGCCTGGAGAACTAAGGGAAAGCAAAAAATCGGGCAAGACGTTATTGCTCATTTCTTTGCAGCAGGATTGAGGGGGTTGTTTAATTTTGCTTTGGAAAGAGCTAGAACAGTTTGCTTTTTATTGGCAAGAATTCTTCAAGTGAACTCTTCATATTTTTCACACACACACACACACACACACACTTATATAATGAAATAAAGTAAACAGCTCTTTGAGCAACAGCTGTGTGAAATATTTTCCTAGGGAAATCTTCTTCACCATCTCATTTCTATATCCTGTGGGCTGTAAGTCAACACAGTTTCCCTGAAAATACATATTAATTCTATGATATAAGAGGTAATATAGAGAAAGCCTTGAATGTTTTAAGTACTTTTGAATAGTTTCTTCCATTTTTCACATTAATTCCAGACAGCTCGCAAGTATGAATGGCTTTTACCTCATAACATTTTGAGTTATTTATTGTTGTGTTTCCACTTTACAACCAAGGAGCTGAGAAACAGAAATTGAACTACTAAACAAAATACAGAATAGAAAAGCTGTTGTAGATCCGGCAGCAGAATCTGATTTTCCATTCTGGCCCTGCGCTCAGCTCCCCTGAAACAAAATGCGCACACAAATCTGAGCCAGGTACTGACGGATCGCTAGTGAATATGCATATTTTTATGCTCAGCTTGGTGAAGTTGTTAACTTAATCAGAGTTAGTGCACTGTTTTGTTTTTAAAAGTCTGATTCGTTTTCCACAATGGCTTGCCATATCGATGTGGACGCCCTAGGGTATGACTGTTTTGGTGGGATACCGGATTGGTTTACTGGGGAAGTTAAATTCGTGGTTCTCACCGAACACCGAGCGACAGGAGTAAACTTTTGACAGAACTTAGAAGTTGTCTGCTCCGAGGGGGAGCACTGTCTGCCGGCCCGGGTGTGCTTTAGCGCAGACAGGCGACGTACGGGGTCAGGGCTGCGCCTGTGCCCCGCGGGTCTCCTCTCCGAGCCGGGGGGCATTCCGGGGAGGCCGCCGGGCAAGAGGGCAGCACGTAGCGCAGCGGATGCCCGGGAGAAAGGGCCCGCCTGCGAGCTGGGTTATGGGTTCTTACCCGTGTCCCGCTTCTCCCTCTGAAGGCGGCAGTCGTGTATCCAACATTCAATTTTCTGCGGACTCGTTGCCCTTTGTAAATGATTACGTGCAAGAGCAGTTACTGAATCACAGGGCAGGGAACGAAAAATGCGTGTAGGAAAGTGACTGCCAATTGTTTAGAGATTATTTTTTTTTCTTTCCAGAAGCGATTTCATCTACTGCAACTCATTTCGTAACTGTTAGAGATTCGTTTTCCTCTCCCTGGATCTGGAGAGCAGTGGGTCAACGGGCTGGAGTCGTTTGCACCGGATGCACAGTTTGGCTGCAAACTGTATTTTCTCGAGACCATGTGTCAACCCTGGACATTGCTAGATAATACTTTTAAAAAAAAAAAAAAGAAAAAGAAAAGAAAAGAAAAAAAAAACAAACACAAAACACAGCCCTAACAGATCAAATTTCTCAGCCATCTAGTCTTGAGTCCAAAGTACCATATTCGAGCGGGTTTGGGTTTTGGTTATTTTTCTTTTCTCTCTCCGTTGCTCGGAGGATTCAGTGAGATCTCAGTGAAGTGAGTTGTATTTTCATAATTGATAGTGCTTTTAATCTCATTTGGAGTCAGTGATGCATCTTATATGCCCCGTTGTTGTAAAGAAGGAAAGCTTTAAGACTAGCTCACGAAAATTATGATGGCATTCGCAAATAATGCCTCTCTTGAGCCCTGACCTTAAGTTTAGGGGTTGTTGAATCATAAAAAACTTTCCCTAATTTCTGGTCCCAATTCTAACGCTAAATTGTCCCTAGAAATATTTCCATTTAGGGATCTGGGGAATTTGGGTGATGGTGTGGGGGATCGGAGGTAGCGCAGACCGAAGAGCGGGCGTACGGGAAACGCACCACGCGAAGCCGGGACTGAATGAGTCCTGGCTGCGCTACAGGTTCCCTTTTCTTTAGCAGCTTTCAGGATTGATTGGAAACCGCTCCGTAGCCAGGGATTCCAATGTCATCTTCAATTAACAAGGAACAATTAGCGCAGTGATTACCCTGGCTCCAAGGTCTACGCATCAGAGGAGATGAAATAGCCTTGCAGCTACCCAGTTCCCAGCTAAAGCCCGTTCACAAGCAGCCCCAGAGGAGGTGCCGGGGGAGGGATGGAGGGGGCTTGCGGGGGGGCGGTGGAGGATTGCTTATGAATCTCAATGGCGGCGCAGGGGAGAGAGCTCCGGGACG